TATGTTTTATGAAGAAAAAGTTAATAAATGTTTATTTTAATGTTATAATTGTGGCAAATGAGTCTATGAGGTATGACGCTGTGCTTGGTAGAGATTTTATGGATTCTTTTGGTTTAAATATTGATTTAAGAACATTAAAAATTGTGAACGGGCATAAAGTTGATCACCAGAATAATGGTAAAAATGATATCATAGCTACAAGCTACAAAGAAAAACAAAAAAAAGTGGACGATGAAGATATCAAACACGAGCAAAATGAAACTATATTGTTAAATGATAAAATCGTTAATAAGGAAATAGTCAGTAATGAAACTGGTAGTGATGAATTAGTTAGTGAGAAAATTGTTAGTCCGGAAACGCTTGGTGATAAAGTTGTTAGTGATGAGATAGTTAGAAATAAAATAATTAGTGGTGAAATAGTTAGAAATGAAGTGATTGGGATCGAAACTGTTAGTGATGAGATAGTTAGTTATGGAGAGCTTAAGCTCGAACCTGATAGTGAAGAAGTTGTTAGTGATGAAATTATCTATAATCAAACCGGGATTGAAAAAGTGATTATAGAAGATATAGGAAACAGTGCAGTTAAAATTAATAATCATGTTAATGAAGCGCCAGTGAATAGCGAAATCATGGGAGTGTTAGAAGAGAATTTTGAGAAGGATATCTTAACAATAAGTTGGGAAGATTCTAACAAAAGAGAAAATATATATATTTTAAGTGAAGATATTGATTACAGCACAAAGTGTGAATTTGAAAATTTATTTGAAAATACTTATGTAAAAGCGAAAAGGCCAAATCAGCCAAAATTAAGACATGAGTTAAGCATAAGATTAGAAAACGACAAAGTATTTAATTGTACACCTAGGCGGTTATCTTATATGGAAAAAGAAAAGTTGCAAGAATTATTAGACGACTATTTAAAAGATGGAATCATTAGGCCAAGTTGTTCAGAGTATGCATCACCTATAGTACTAGTGAAGAAAAAAACTGGAGACATGAGGTTATGTATTGATTTTAGAAGACTGAACAAAATTATATGTAGAGACAACTACCCGCTACCATTGATCGACGATTTATTAGACAGACTATGCGGAAAAACAGTATTTTCAAAGTTGGATCTAAAAAACGGGTATTTTCATGTTTTTGTTAATGAGCAATCTATTAAATACACTTCATTTGTTACCCCTTTAGGACAATATGAATTTCTTAGGATGCCCATGGGTTTAAAAACTGCGCCACATGTATTTCAAAGATTTGTTAATAACATATTTTGTGATATGATAAAAGATAATAAGGTAATTGTTTACATGGATGATATTATGATAGCAAGTACAAACATAAAGGAACACATGGAGACCTTAAAGGAAGTGTTTATAAGACTGGTGCAAAACAAATTAGAGTTGAAATTAGATAAGTGTGAATTTTTTAAAAGCAGCGTTAAATATTTAGGATTTGTGGTGGATAGTAAAGGCGTTAGGGCTGATGAAAAAGGGTTAGAAGCGGTTAAATCCTTTCCAATACCAAACAAAATTCAGGGAGTACAAAGTTTCCTAGGGTTATGCTCCTACTTCAGGAGGTTCATTTTAAACTTTTCTATATTAGCTAAACCCTTATATGATTTATTGAAAAAAGATAAGAAATTCAAGTTTGGAGAAGAGGAGTTTAAGTGTTTTAATATGTTAAAAGATAAATTGTTAGAGGCGCCAGTACTATCAATATATAATTACAAAGAAGAAATAGAACTACATTGTGATGCCAGCGCAGTGGGATTTGGGGCTGTTTTATTTCAAAAAAAAGAAGATAGGAAATTACACCCGATTTTTTATTTTTCTAAAAGAACAACCGAAGTAGAGTCTAAATATCATAGTTTTGAGTTAGAAACGCTAGCCATCATTTACGCATTACGCAGATTTCGTATATATCTGCAGGGAAAACGATTTAAAATAATGACAGATTGCAACTCTTTAACTTTAACGCTTAACAAAATAGATTTAAATCCGAGAATTGCTAGATGGGCGTTAGAACTACAAAATTACGATTTTGAGTTAGTGCATAGATCGGGCAAGCAAATGCAACATGTGGATGCGTTAAGCAGATGTTATGAGGACATTTTAGTTATTGAATCCAATAGTTTTGAGGACAATTTAGTTATTTGCCAAAGCAAAGATGACAAACTGGTAGATATTAGAAAGATGTTAGAAAAAGAAGAGCACAAGCTATTCGAAATGAGAAATGGGGTCATTTACAGAAAAACAAATGATGGCAGATTAGTTTTTTATGTACCAAAGGATATGGAAGAACATGTACTTTACAAATATCATGATGAGTTGGGACATGCTGGGAGAGATAAGATGATCGATGCCATTGGAAAGAGTTACTGGTTCCCATATATTAAGGAAAAAGCAATAAAGCATATAGGGAATTGTTTAAAATGCATTGCCTTCGCCCCCAAGACGGGTAAGAGTGAAGGACTATTACATAGCATACCGAAAGGAAACAAACCGTGGGAGATGATCCATATAGACCATTATGGACCAATTAATGCAGGAAGGGCTAATAAATATATATTGGCGGTGGTTGACGGATTTTCAAAATTTGTTAGACTATATACAGCAAAGACAACAAGTACGAAAGAAGCGATTAAGGCATTAAAAGATTATTTCAGAGCGTATAGTAGACCTAAGTTCATTGTATCGGACAGAGGGAGTTGTTTTACTGCAAAAGAGTTTGATGAATTTTTAAAAAATGAGGGAGTAACGCATATTAAAATAGCAACGGGTTGTCCGCAAGCAAATGGTCAGGTGGAAAGGTTGAATAGAGACTTGGGTCCGATGATGGCAAAAATGGCGGAGCCAGAAAATGGTTTACATTGGGATGTTATTATAGAAAATGTTGAATATGCAATAAACAACACACAACACAAAAGCATAAAGAAATTTCCAAGCGAAATGTTATTCGGATTACAACAGAAAGGAAAAGTTGTTGATGAATTAAAAGAAAAATTAGAAGAGTTTACACAGGTGAACACGTGTGATAAAAGAAATTTAGAAAATATAAGAAAGAGTGGAGAAATATATCAAAAAGAAGCTCAAATCAGAAATGAAGAGCGGATTAATAAAAAGAAGAAAGTATCAGTAGAATATAAAATAGGTGACTATGTCATGGTAAAAAATTTTGATAGCACACCAGGAGTTTCAAAAAAGTTAATACCAAGATATAAAGGGCCTTATAGTATAGAAAAGATTTTAAAAAATGATAGATACTTGTTAAAGGATGTAGAAGGCTTTCAATTATCTCGCAACCCGTACGTTGGTATCTGGAATAGCCAAAACTTTAAGCATTGGATGCGAAAATAGGCAATAAGCATTAGTTATAAAGATAGATACACATATAAAAGACAGAGATCGGGAGCTCTCTTTGTCAGGATGGCCGAGTTGTAATAGGATAAGAGCATCATTGGTAACCCTAGCCAGGGTATTATAGTGTCACTATCTATGTTAATTATAACAGTACGATAAGTAAATATCGATAAAGAAAAGCGGCTGCAGAGAAGAAGTGGAAGGCAGTCTCTCTACAGTACTAGCAGTAAGAAGACGTGTTGTTAAAAATAAAAAGGCAACCCGAACATAAGTTAAATCAACGAAGAAAATCATACTATTACAATATCAAACCTCTATTCTATAAAATATAAATAAGGCATTGATAAGTGGCATCTCGTAGTCTTATAGACAAAAAAAGTGTTCGAAGTTTGTTTTTAGTTTAATTAGTAACTGCGATTAATCGCTTCTGAAGACCAAATTAATATTTAATGCTCATTTGGACAGCTTTATTCATAAATGTGTTTTTCACTAGACATGAAATGTTACATTTATCATGGCCGAACACCAAACTTTTTAGTTGCATTTATCGCATTTTGAACCCAAGAATTCATTGCATATTACTTCTAACTTATTTGTCTTTGCATAAAAGGAACAAAGCTATTCGTTAGTCAAAAATTAAATTTAAATCTGTTCGGCATAAATTCGAAATTAATTATGACATGTAATTTAGGCTTTGAAGTTTTTGGTCTTGACGTTTCACACCTATTATCTATGTCAAATTACTCAAAATTAGCATTAAATTATTTTGACTCATTGTAATTAAACATATGTTACCACAACAATAGTTGTTGTTGCGAAGTCAGCTCTCAAACGTAATGAACTTTCATCTGAAACAGGTAATTGGCATTCAGTAGAACACTAACTTATGTTACCTCATGTTGCCCATCATGTTGCCTGCACACACACACTTGTGAACTTTGTGAACTGAATCCGAAAACTTCTGGCCTCAGGTTTTGCTTTCAGCTGCTGCATGCATGCAAACCAATTTATGAACCCCACATAAAAGGTAGAAAACTGAAGTTAACCTTAGGCTTTGGGTAACAACAAAGTTGGATCGCAGCACCGAGACGTTGCCGAATGAGAGAGTCGGCTAATCGACAAACTTTAGTTGCAAATATATTATTTCGACAGGACTATTAATCATGTATATGTATACGTAAGTATTATAGTAGGGCAAAATATTATTAAAAAAAAACTAAAAAAATAAAACAAAGAAGAAACTTTAAGCATTTAGCCAGGAAAATTGGTGCACAGTTTTCAACAGCAGCAGCACGAAGGCACAACTGCCACTCGATTACCATGCAAACATTCAATCGAAACAAATTCCAATTCAATGAAAATAAATGAGCACGACAAATAGCTGCTTGCACCCAACACACGCACACACACACTCACACATAACTCCACCCATGGAGGAGGGGACGTAGAAAAATTTGACAGCATTTTTCGCGTAAGGGAAAAGATTACAAACGGCAACGTGGCACGCCAATGCCTGCGGCAGTGTTCTTGACATATTCCACTTGTTTATTTACACTAGGGACTAGCCGAGGACTCAAACCGTCTCACAACAACTAGCTAAGTACATGCATAAGGACTAGGGACTACAGACTAAGGACTTACCGCCGCCGCAGGTGACGGAGCATTGCGACATCGGTGCCATCTCCCAGTAATAGAGCGGTTGCGAACAGGAGTTGCCATCGCCCCCGCAAACGCCGCAGCCGTCGATTTTCTTCGTTGAGCCTATTTTCAAATCGCAGCCAACGCGCTGAAAAGAGAAACATAGAGCCAAAAATATAAAAAGAACAGTTTAATACAAGAGCAGCCCAACAAGAAGCATAAATAGTTATCTTGGGGACGTATAAATCTAAATACACTTACAAAAATAACATATATGTACAATAACTTTTGTTGTTTGTTTTTATGAGGTTATTATTTGTTGTATTCATCCAATTGTTTAGTAATAAAGTCTTAACGAATTCTTCTACAAAAAACCTCGATAAATATAGTAACTATTATTATCGTTTATTATAGACAGACATATAGAGAGCATGTTAAGGAGTCACAAAAGTCTACATCGAATCAAAAGACCCTGTGTAAGTGTGTTAAAACGATAGAAAAACAAATAAATAAAAAAATTGCTTCGTAAATAAGTGTAAATCAACTGTTAGCGGTATCATATCGTAGCCTATTGCCAAACAAGCGCACACCCACACACACAAACAGCAAACGTAATAAATAAAATATGGAAATCAATGAGAATTCGTTGCATAAGCCCAGGCGCTGACACACAGCTACTCGAATCTACTTATGATGTATCTATAAGGATGTGTGTGAGCATGTATATGTGTACTTTTCCTATGTATCAGTGATTGATATGTAGCTGGTGCCACATGGCACTTGCGACAGTTTACAGTTGGCCTGTTCGAAGGTTGCGTATTGAACTCGGAGGCTCTACGCATTGCCAAACAAATGTTGCTTTAGATTGAGGAGTTAAAACCGACCCAATTGTATGCCTACAGAAATGGATTTCTATAAATATATGTATATATTACATTTTGTTGATCAGCTCCAAAGCAGATACAATGCTATCACAATTAAATAGATCTTTTGCTGGTACTGAAGTTAAATCAATTTTTTACACACTCTTACAGTTGTTGAGTTCTCTTTTAATTTTTTAAGTTTCATAAGGGACTTTGCTAAGCTGGATGTTAAAAAGTGAAATATTTTAATTATTCAAATTTATTATTTACTATTTATGCATACCCAAACACAATATTTACTTATATTTGGTCTCTTCCCCCCCTTAACTACACCCCTCCTTTGTTTCTCGTTTGATTTGATCTGTAAAATTAACCACAAGTTATTCTTTAGTTAACCTAAGTAGTATCTGTCAGTATATGTTTAACTATTTTTTTACCCTCAACTCAAATATTACCATAATATGACAGTTTATTTTAAGCGTTTCGGTATTTAATACAAAAAGCGTCTGATTAATTAAGAAATTCCCCAACAGCCAAATGACAGATGGCCATTGAAAAAGTAATCCAGAGTTCGAAGTGGCAAAAGTATTAGATCCTAACCCATGTCAAGATATCTGGTACCGGAAAGAATTGCCTTGTGGTTGGATGTGTGTACGTGTCTGTGTGTCTGCTTTTTGATTTTAGGTCTAAACCGCAAGACAAACAGGGATGGCGAGAAATAAGCCCGCGAGCCGCATTAAAATCCACAAAACTGGCAACTTACTATTTGATTTATTTGCAACGGATACAGATATACATATATAGGCCCACGCACACATATGTCTTTATACACATGCATAAGTGTGTGTGAGTTGGCAGCTGCTGCAGCCTCAACTTCAACGCCCAACTCCCGCGTGGAAAGGCAGACAAATAAAACACAACGTAAACCACATGACATATTGGCGTTTATTACAACAAATTGGGGTGACGATTTGGCGGCATTACAAAGGCAGCGGCACCGCCAAACTAGGCGAAAAGTCGGATAAGGCGCAACACCAACACAAGCACACGCACAAACACACACAGACAAGTGCACACTCGAAACAAATTGAACTGAAACTCAAACAAACCACGGGTAGCTAGAGAAAGCAAGAGCGACAGAAAGAGATAGAAAACACCAGAGAATACTGCAAGGTTGGGATCTGGTTGGGGTCGGAGTCACAGCCGCTTCCAGTTTTAATGCGCCCACGTTTGCTTGTTGTTGTATGTTTTTTTTGCTGTTTTTTTTTTTGTTAGTGTTGCTTTTTGCTGCCGTCGCCAACTTCGTTTGACATTATTGTAGTTGTAAGCCTGCCAAACTGTGGCGGCAATAGCCATACATGCCGCACACGAGGCGTGTCTCAAAAGTTAGCCAAATGCCAAAATGAAAAGAAAATTTACAAATCATAATTTCACGAGACCCAACCTCGGTTGGCTGTCAGCTTTAAATTGCAACATCATATTAAATTAAACCATACCCTACATTCCATATACCATACCTTACCATTACATACATTCTCAAGCTTTACAAATTCTATAAGAATTAATTCGCAGCTTTAGACCCACTATCTCTTTGCTTAGTTGCTTTTTTTGTCTGGCGTAAATTTTTCCAAAAAACTTGTTATAATTAATGCATACATTATTTCTAGTTAAATTTTATACTATATAAATTAAATTATTTGCTATATTTTCAACAAATAGTCTGGAAATATTCAAAGAATATTTCAAAAAGGCTTTTAGCAACTCTCGGCTGCATGTCAGAATTACATAGCATACTTTGTAGCGCGCGTTTCATTCCTGCGTTGACGGCTGAGTTCCGTGAAGTGGCAACCAGGCAGCCGCCAGCAGCACGCTTTATTGGCATTTCAATAGTTGGCCTTTGACTGGAGTGGCAGCCGCCTTTGGTTTCCAGTGCCCGCTAACCGCATCTACTCCCAGCTCCTATATTAAACTCCGGCAACCCGAACCCCCGTCAACATTATGATTTATTTATGCTCACGTTCATAATGATACAAAGGCGCTTGCGTTATGCAATCTGCATATATATGCATACGTAAGTACGTATTACACTGGCAGGCTGCAATGCCTTTTGTTTTTGTCGTGCTCAGGAACCACGAGTACGGCCACGCCTACCAACTCTCACGCCCACCCTCCTGCGCTGACAACATCGCCGTAATTTATCATATTTTAGTTTTGGAGCGCAGCTAAGTGGAAGGGCAGCCTTAACACACACACACACACACACAGGAAGGAAGGAAGCTAACAAGCCTCACATGCACACCCCCATATCGTTGCCTAAACATTATGATTACATCGATAGTCCATATAGAAAACTCACCTGACATTTGCCCTGTATGCACATATCCAAACTGCCGGAGCGACAGCGTGTACCATCCTGCACCCGCGCCGACAACTGCACAATAACGCTCTGCTCATCGTAGTGCTCCTCGGCATTGCCGGCTGCCGATTCCGGTGAGATGTCCTCCATAAGATGCGCCGGGTGTCCTCTGTTGGGGGAGGTTGAAAAAGCAGTTAGATTCAAGTTTATCACAGGTTGATGGATAGTTATGCTTCGTTTAATGCTTTGGAAATTATTCGATTTGTTTATGGCTAATATTTCAAGTAGCTCTCAAAGAGTCTTGATTGATTGTGACGTTTAGCAGATTCTTAAAGGGAAGTTTTCTCAATAATTAATTTTGAAAAAAAAGTGGGAATACTATTAATATTTGTTTTTATTATCATAAAAATATGTCTTTTTGTAGTTCCTTCTAATATTTAATAGAACTCAAGCCAACTTATTTTCAATTCTCAGCTCCATCTGACGAAGTAAAGAATAACTTGCATTAAGATTGGTTGAAGAAAACTCAGGAGGGCTTCTTCTGAATCCAACTAGAAGCATAGATTAAATTATCCTTCTTTTACTAATCGCGGCAAAGTCAAATATGTTTGTTCGGGGACTTTACGGAATTATGAGCTTCGGCACGCGTGCATGAAGGGATAGTTAGCAAAATATATGCAAATAGATTTTCTAGCTTCTTCTGCTAACCAATTTCAGCTAACATTTTTCAAATGGCATCTTTATGCCTTTTGCACGAGCCTTACTTCCATTTAATTCCTTTTGCCTGGTGCATTCCCTTTGCCGCTTTATTAGCTGTTTTGAGTATCATACGAAATCCCTTTGGCCAACCGCTTCATTTGCAACTAAATTGGAGAATTTTGACGCTTAGCAAATGATTTATAAAGCCCGCATATGTATGAAAATGCGAGGCGAAGCGAAATATGAAATCTAACCCAAATGGATTAACCAAAAAAAAACACTGGAAGCCGCAAAAGCCACAAAACCGAAACGGCTGCCACTAATTTTAACCACAAATACAAACTGAGCTTAAAAAAGAAGAATGAAAAAATAAACATCAAATAAGCGAGCGTGCATTACTTGCTAGATACCCTGTAACTGTGCGCTTCTTATCAAATTGTTGCGAACATTTTAAATTTAATTTTTAATAATATAAGCTTAATATAAGTATAATATAGGTATATATATATTTATGCTATAAAATCATAAATAGCCATAGAATCTTTTTCACCCGCTATTAGATATTTTCTGCCTACAGGGTAACACAAAAAGAAAATAAACGCTAGATTTTTTATTGCAAAAAAGAGACAACCACTCGAGGCGAGCGGCTCCAACGCCCAACGGAAGCCATGATGAATAATGAGTGCAGATCCTTGAACTGAAACTGGTACCAGCCAGTTGGCCAGTTGGACAGTTGGCCCATAAGCGCATCGGTGTAGACTTTATTTTAGTATGCAACAAGCTGTGGGGGGTCGTGCCGCCTGAAAAGCCCCGAATGCGACTCACCTGCATGTCAGAGCACACGGTTCGACATAATCGTAGTGCGGCGTCCACTTGTACAGGGTGCCATCGTAGGGGACATCGTTATAGGCGGCACACTGGTTCGCACGGAAGTCCTGCTGCTCCGGACATGGCTGCATGTTGCAGATGCGATAGCGGGCGCTCTCGCCGCGACAGCTGCCCGGTGTACTGCAGCGACGCATTTGCTGCATGATGCCGCCATCGCAGGTGCGCGAACATGTTGACCACTCCGACCAAGCTGACCACTGGCCAGAGCCAGAGCCGGTGCCCGAGCTCCCAGTTGATCCAGCACCAGTGCTGCCCTTTGAACGTTTCTGTTGCTGCAATCGAAGGATAAGGATTTGTGTATTGGCCTTTGCTAATGGAATGGACATATTTTTGCATGTGTATGCGAGTGTGCGAGTGTATGTGTGTTTGGGGAGCTGGTTAGTTATTTAGTACTCACTTCCAGCTCATTTTCCAAGTCGGATGCTGTGTTCCATGTGTCGTCGAACGCTTGACTTGCATTCAATTTCTTTGCCCAAGCGGCGTGTGAAATTAGCAGGCAGAAGCTCGTCTAAAATAGAATACAACAATTGAACAGATTAAGGTTTAGATTCTATATTATTATTGGGCTTAGTAGGATAATTAATTTCTAGTTAAATAAAACATTTTCGGAAATTATTAATATATACAAACACTTGCCATATTAAGATAAACATAAATTAATAAAATATATAAGCAAATCAAGTATGTTAGCTGAAATGCTGAGAAAATAGCCTGGCTACATATAACTGTTTATGCTGATCGATTGATTGACTGAATGACAAGTAATGTCCAAACCGTATGAGCTAGAAATCCAAGTTTTGTAAAGTAGTTTTTTATTGTACACACTAAGACGGGTTTCGGGAATTACCGAAAGCTTCTTTTTAATTAATAACATTTAATAAAAAAATGTATTTTCAATTTATCCATGTTCGCTTGACATTGAAAATTCTGGAGAAAATTATTTTAATTTTTTAATTTTTAATTTAATAATAAACTATTTCCCCAAGCAAAGCTATCTAAAATTCATAGGATAGTATTTTAGGCAGTATGACAGGAGTGTGTGTCGTATATTTATCAGCTTGAACTAAAATAGAAAATAAGGAAACGTAATCCTAGGGCAGCAAACAATGCGTACATGCCACCTGGCTTTATTGGCATTTGAAGTTGAGCGAAGTGAGGATGACTTTTATATTTGTATAATATTTTTTATCATCGCACGCGGCTTTCACGTTAGTCACGTTAACAATTTGCATTTTGGCCGGGACTTTGCTTTTTATATCGAAGGCGCATTAACCTTAGGACACGCGTCACGTATGCCCCCAGGCATTGAAAACAATCTCGACTGGCGTGTCAAGGGTTATGCCACGCGAATAAGGCGTTTTGATGGGCGTGGACCAAGCCGTATGTCGTGTATCTGTTGTTGCTGTTGCTGCTGCTACTTCTACAGTTGCTGCTTAATGGCGTGTCGTATGCCACGTGCCCCACGCCTTTTTTTTTTTTGCCAACAACACGTAATCGGGGTTCAACTGGGTTAAGCGTCTTACTAAAATAGACTACCGTAAGAGCAGACAGTTAGCTAAGTATTTATGTGCTAAATCTCTGTCTCTCTTTGGGCTAAGTACAGCAGATTTAATGGGACGCCTTTTTTCGACAGATTTAATTCTTCCAGTTTTCGCTTAATTAGATCTTTACTGAATTCTAATGACAAGCAAACAATGCTCGAACTACTTGAATTTATTTACTTAGTTTTACTTCAGAATTTACTTTTTTCAATTTAATTTCAAGCAAAGATATTGGATACTTTATTTATTTTCTGGAAATACTGAACTTGTTTCCATGTGATCTGTATTATAGATCTGTGGATTATCTGTATATTTACTTAACGATATTAATCGCTTCTTTCTCCTCTTCAACTGTTAACTATTTTATTAATGTTCCTCTAAATTGATGTAATATCTTATTCCAGCAGTTAACCAGCGAAAAGCCCTAATAACTAGGCTACAAATGACCAACATGGACTAGCCATATGGTGACTTAACAGCTTTTTTAAGCCAAGGCCTAGCACTGTAGTGGCTGCTTTGCACTCCCCAAACGAATCTGTTTGTTGATCAGCTGCTCTAGTTTAGTTACTGCTTTACCGACCGCGCTGGAAGCCAATTCTTCGTTTATTGCACAGCTGAGGGCATGCGCAACCGAATAGGGCGAATAGAGAGGAAAAAGGTGATAAGATCAGGCCATAGTACCGTTTTAAAATATAATCGCGTGATGTAGAGCTTTTGAAAGCTTCCTTATTTTTTTTGTCGTTGGGAAGTAGTAAAGGTTAAAAGTACAGCTCAGCATGTCAGATATATTTGAAGCGCGTGCGAGTTAAGTTCATAACATTTTTTCTTTCTTTGCAAATAATTTTTGCAAAGACATCAACGACCAAGGCTGCAATTGTGGTACAGTTTGGAAGTGTTCTTTTGGTACGCTAATAGAAACCAAAAACCTTCATAACAACTCGACCCACTAACCTAATTGTGATTCGGGGTGACCCTTAAAGAAAAGGTATTTATATGTGCTAGTGTTGAGACTTGGAACTAATTAAGGCTTCCACAGTTTCCGTGCCTGCTCAGTTGACTAGATTTAGACGTACTAGTCGGCACTACCAGAGGGGGAGATCGGACCAGACAAGGGCAACACCAAGAGCACGTGTCGCACTTAGCAACCCAGCAGAACCAATTTTGTTGCTATTTTACTTATCAGCCGCTGTCTTGCGAAGAACAACATCTGGCATAGCCTCGGAAAACGGCGTCAAGCGGGTGAAACGCTTACTATTTATGCAGCACCATCGGGACCGTATGCACTAAGCATATAGTGTAACCTGCAGAGAGTAACAAAGGAGCCGAGTCTGTATTACTTTTGGTGTACCCCTTTCGCTTGCTTAGCAGCATTGCCATATAATTCCATTAATTGTTTAACGTTGCCAAGATGGACGGCTAATAGATCCTTAGTTTTAATTTTTATTTCCTTTAAATTTTTTTTTCTTTTACTAATTTCTTTAAAACAAAATGTGCAATGAATATGCCTAAATAAGTTAAAGCGAGAGGAAATTCCTACACCACCGACCTTGACCGTTGCTCATATATATATATATATATATATATATATATATATATATACATGTGTTTATATACTTATAAATTTCTTTTGTAATATTTAGCAACAGCGATCATAATCGTCGTATACATTGGGCCCAACGTCTGCTTCGAAGGATATCGCGTGAGTAAGAGTTTAAACCAATGCCTATAGATATATGTAGTTATATACACACATGAACATTTAAATGCAGTTAATTTAGCAAGACGGTAAATTAATTACTATCCGTCAAGTCTCAAGATAATGTTGGTGAATTTCTCCTTCCCCTTAATTTCTTTATGGGATTTAAACTAGTTATTGCACATTCATCATATTAACTTTGGATTCAAATTTTGTTTGGAAACTGTATATTTTTTTCTTGTAAATAGAGTTATACTCACCTTGCTATTAATTGGCAACAAAATTGAACAATGCGTGAATAAACGAATTATATTAGCTTATATGATATGATATCCTAATTCCATAATTAATTGTTTTATCTGTCAAGTACCCATGTTAGCCGCTTGCAATTTATAGTGATGGTTTAAGAACCTGAAATAGGGACAAGCATCCACATTCCATTTTTTTTTTTGCTTGTCAAGGTAGGGAGGGTAAAGAGAAAGAGAGACGATCAACACCTTAGTTCTCTCACTTACGCGAAATTGAATAGTTTGAATTTGGGTGTTCGGTCGGAACACATTAATGGTACCCATACTAGAATCCGGTTTTTTTTTGTTTCAATGGATTTACTTAAGTCAATAAGTTTTTTTTTATTTTTTTTGATCGCACTTAAACTATGTGTTTATGGTAAGTGCAAAAGGGAAAGGAAAAAACCCCGACCAGTCCGACGAGCTATTGTCCGAGTATTAGCAAGAAGTGCGAACCTCCAATCCCTATGCACCCGGTTAGGCAACAGCCACGGCCGTTTGTTTTTATTTTTGGTAGATGGCCAAACGAAAGGCAAAAAACTGAACCCGAACCTCCCCACCATTACATATATGGCGCCCAACGTGGGGCCCTAGCAAGAACGTAAAACTTTTACTTCTTGCGTAAGCACGACTAACACCTAGTGCACAACAATCCCCAATCGAAACTCGAAGTTATACCATATCAATTACTACCTATTATTTTTTAATTACCCTGTTAGGCCCCTTTCTCGGGAAAATACGTTGTGTTCAGACAGTAGTTAGTTGTAGGAATTTGCGATTGTAATTCAGGCATTGCTGGATTAGTCGACCACAATTAATTACTAGTACTTTAAGCAGCGGGTAAGATCGGAAAAGAGGGAATAATAATCAAATTTGGGTTAATTGTTTCAAGGACTATTTGGAATTACAACAAACTGGAAATATTTCGGATGTTGTCTAGTAGTCCATGAGCAGTAAAAATCCAAATCAGAAATAGACTCCAGTAAAATAAATAGCACAAATTCAACTACTCAGGTTTGCTTAAGGATTGTAAGCAATAACGTGTGGGAAAAAGACAGATAGAATAAATAACCAAGACTTAATAATACAAGTCCTATTTAGTTTTCCTTTTGTTGTTTGGAAACAAGCAAAAGTTTGCATTCATTATGGCAGTGAGACGAAGCACAGAGAGCATAGTTGCAGCGATTAACGCGCAAGATCCATTTTGTGGCATTTGCCATGAGCAATTGCAAGCAGAACAGCTATCTGCGACTACTCCTTGTCAACACCGTTTTCACGACGTTTGCATAAGCAATACACTAAAGACAACCCCAAAATGTCCAGTATGTGAGGCAGATTGCAACCCAGGGCAACTAATATTTATGAACAATACACTGGCAGCGGAGTTACACTCAGCTGGTAATGCTGAAACAGACGAAACTCTATCGCGAAATACTCTACCTTGCCAAGATGGTTCGACTACTACAGGTATCAGGAGAGGTCAGCGATTCGGAAAAGGGCGAGGAGCCACGCCCAAGCGAAGTATGCAAACTAGGTCTATGAATCGAAATCATAGAGAATATTTAGGTAGTTGCATGTCTTTAGGCAGCAACGGAAATAAGTCAGTGGACAATGGTCCAAATGTAGAGACAATTACCTATATCAACGAAGCTCTACAATCTCAGCAAAGGACTTTAATAGCAGAACTCAAAAACGTTATTAAAGCTTCTGTTGAACAATCACTGCAAGAGAAGTTAGCAACATTAAATGTACGAAATGAGCAAGCTGAATCAACACGCTCTAGATTAGTTCAGTCTCCAAGGGGATTAGGTGCTGATACTCTCCCTAATAGTGCCCAGAACTCTGACATACCCCTTGACTGCGGACCATACAGCCCCAGAGGTAGCAATCGATCAAACTCAAGTTTGAGTTCAGAAAAAGCAGCTAGCATTATGCAAACCTGGCGACTTAAATTTGACGGTTCGAAAGACTCTATGCAGATAGA